CGTCGAAGCGAAACGAGGCCGCTGAACGAGCGTGACACACGGCTCGAAAGCAGCGGAGCTTTTATTATGCCACACTCGACTACTTGTTATTTGCCTCAAAGCAGTGCTGTTTTATCATACTAGATACATTTGAAAGCTCTGTTATAAAGCTACTCTGTGCGGTCGTCATCGGTCTATTAAAACGCACAACATATTAAAGCATCTTTGGTGTTTCCATATTTTCTACAAAACAAAACCGGTAATGTGTCTGGATGTTTTACTTTTTAGTTTGCTTGTAATTCTAATTATTCTCAGTGATAATTTTCATTAAAATCTAATTTCCATAACACTGTAATAAAAATCATCCTGTCTAGACTAAAAACAAAAACAGCATAAGTAAAAAGCTGTATAAATATGATGTATACGTGCATTTGCATTAATTGCAGTAATTGTCTTCTAATTTTATTTTTTCCCTCATGCAAAATATAAGATAATTTTTATTTTAGTATATTGTTATTATAGGATATATATAATATATAATATTAATAATAGTTAATAAATATTTAAACTATTTAATTAAAAATCAAAATAAATAAAATAAATAGAAATATTTAAACTATTTAATATTTATAGTTATATAGTTAGTAATTGTTAGTTGGATATAGTTGAATTGTCACTCACCTGCAATTAAAGCAATTAATGTTGCCATTTCAAAGCGGGTCTCGCCTTCTGAATGTTTGCGTGATGAACACATCCTTCAGGTGCTGCGAAGCAAAAGGCTAAAGGCACGCAAAGATGTTCAGCTCCTAATGTAGGTGTGTGAGTTGTCGTCATCTATTTTGGAGTGATTGCAATGTATTCTAAATGGTAAAATAGAAAACCGTTATTTTAAATTGCAATAATATTTCATAATATTACTGATTTTTTCTGTATTTTTGATCAAATAAATTCAGGCTTGATGAGCAGAAGAGACTTCTTTCAAAAATCATTAAAAATAGTAACGTGTCCAAACTTTTGACTTTTACTGTATAAGTAAAAATATACAACATTTACAATGAAATGTTATATAAATAAAAGGTTAGGAATCATCTATCTATCTATCTATCTATCTATCTATGTCTGTCTGTCTGTCTGTCTATCTATCTATCTATCTATCTATCTATCTA